CACGACACACATACACACATACAAACACACACACGCACAAACACACACACGCACAAACACACACACACACACGCACTCACGCACACACACAGACTTAGCAAAAGGAGCAGTAGTCAGTCAGACACACACACACACACACACACACACACACACACACACACACACACACACACACACATGGGTCGAGTCTTCAGCTTCTCTGGCTCCCTGTTGATGCGGGGGATGGTCAACTTCTGTGTGTGGGTGGTTGGTGGGTGCTTTTGTGTGTGGTTTGCTTCTTCCGTCCTATCCAACATCTATCGTCGTTATTTCTCCTCCTTCTTTTTTCTTTATAAGTTACTTACTTTAAGTTACACCTCAAAGCCTCTACATTGGTAAAAATCTTGTCTCTTTTAGCGCACAAACAGACACAAAAGGGTCGTTAGCTTCTCGGGCTCAATGGTGAAACGGGAAATGGTTGTCATCTGCCGTTTGTCCGTCTGTTTACCAATTTCTCTCTCTCTCTCTCTCTCTCTCTCTCTCTCTCTCTCTCTCTCTCTCTCTCTGTGTGTGTGTGTGTGTGTCTTTCGGATCTCTCTCTTTGTGCATGTGTCGTGTGTGCGTCTGTGTGCTTGTGTTTATATTGTATGTGTATGTTTTTGCGAGTGTGTGTTTATGTCCGTATGTGTCTTTGTGTGTGTTTGTATGTCTGTGTGTTATGTCTGTTTGTATTACCAAAACTGTTGTAAAACTGCTAAAACTGCTACAGCTGCAACAACAACAACAACAAAATAATAAACAACCTTATAAATGTACGTGTGTATTCTTTCTGTGTCCACAGACCGCGTGGGTTCGATGACTCGCCTCGTCTACTCCCCGGCCGGCCCAGCGCCCGCCTCACGACTCCACGGTGCCGCTAGCCGCAGCGGCAGCAGCTTTACGCTACCCCACTACTCCACTAACCCGGGGGGAGGAGGAGGAGGAGGATTAGGCGCAGGAGGAGGAGGAGGACCAGGTGCCCCTCTGGGCCACGTCAGCAGCAGTAGTCTCAGCAACCTCAGCCACAGCCAGAGTGGTTTAGGAGGAGGTGCAGGAGGAGGAGGAGGAGGAGGTTTGGGTGCGACCCATGCCCGTTCGGCTACAGGACAGAATAACGTGAAGAGTATCCTCACCCACCAACAGCAACAACAACAGCAACAACAGCAACAGGCGCACCACCCCCACCCCCTCAGCCACAGCGTGGGCGACCTCCACCTCGCCAGCGGCCACCCCAACCACCATCACCACAACAACCTCAGCAACAACAACAACAACAACAACAGCAACAACCTGAACAACAGCAACACGAACAGCAGGCCTCACAGCGCTTATTTTTACAGCAGCAGTAGTCTCAACAACAACAACAACACCAACAGTAGTAGTAGTACTAGTGGCCGGCCACTCAGCGCGTATTATAACAGCCCCAGCTCCAACAGCAACAGCAACAGCAATTTCCTCTTGCTTCCCCCCGGCTCGAGCGCCACCTCGCGCAGCACGCCGTGCGTGGCTCCCCTCGCCTCCGCCGCCGGCTCCCCCAACTCCCCGAGCAGCCTCGCCTTGCAGCACAGCCAGAGCCAGAGCCAGATGTCGCTCCGCGAAGCGCCCGGGCGCGCCTCCGTGCCCGTGTCAAGGTCGCAGTCGTTCGGGGGCGTGTCCCTGCGCTCCAACGCCTCGGCGCTGACGGCCACGCCCCCCGTGCTGGGCGACACGATGAGGCGTGCCACGCGGCCGCACTACGCCAAGCCCCAGAGGCAGGCTACCTCCAGGGGCACCCGCAAGTCGCCCAAGGTGCCCAAGGTCCCGCGGCCCGGCAGGGCGATGATGGTGTTTGACAGCGTCAAGACTGGCATCGGGTGAGTCGTTTGCTCTCATAAATAATTACTATTCTGACTTTCTCACCTGTTTTTTCTTCTGTCTTTCTGTCGTCTCTTTCTTTGTCTCGGTCTGTCTATCTGTCACCTTTTATTTTTCTTTTTCTGTCTTTCTGTCGTCTCTGTTTCTGTCTGTCTGTCTGTCTGTCTATGTGTCTGTCTGTCTATCTATCTCACACACACATACGCAGGAACTCTCTCTCTCTCTCTCTCTCTCTCTCTCTCT